CTAAACAAAAAGTTTGTTTACGTATTGCCATAAATGTCAAAGTCGGCAAAATCAAAGTAGCGGTTTCGGGAATGCGCCACATTCAGTTCATTTCGCCATGGGTAATTCCCAGCTACTTTAAACTGGCACTCTATTATACTAAAATTTAATGGGCTAAAAACTAAAGAATATTAATAAAGCTCGAAATTTTTACGAAAGTATGTTGGTTTTTGGATGCTTCGCAAAGATCTAATCTTGGGTTTATACAGTTTTTCTTAAAGAATACATTATATTTTTTAAACAGATAATTAAAATTAAAGAATAATAAAATAAATAGTAAAACCTTGTCAATATGTGAGTGCCGTAAAGGTATTGGCGCGTATTCATAGTCCAGCAACTAAGTCGAAACTAACAAAGTTGCTACTTAAATTTAAGTACCAACTTAAAATTTACCTGTATTCATAGTCGCATTTCAGACTTCTACTAAGTACTTTCGACTTAGTTTACGATATAGCAAAACGAGTGTGAAAATGTATCGATTTTTCTTTACGATATTTTGGAAAAATTACATTTTTATTAAATAATGTTAAGTTTGATCATCCGTTTATGTAATTTTTATTTTCATTGCATGATTATGCAAAAGAATAAGATATCATTTTCTTTTTAATTGTGTGAAATAGCCAGAATAACCGCAGTGATGTGAAGTCGAAGTTTATCGAAAGCATGCTGTGAAACATACAAATAGTAGATATCTAAATGTTATGCACAAATTTACTTTAAAAGAACTAGCGCGAAACTGACTTATTATTTGAGAATTTATCTAAATTATTCCAATTATAAAATTGTGATGTATAGGGTTCGAAATTTCAGACTTTGGTATCGATACTGAGTACTCATTCTGGCATCGAGCTCATGGTATCGATACTCTAAAAGTATCAGGGAAAAAGTATCGATACTACTCAGTATCGGACTCATTGAAATACTTAAATTATTTTATTCTTCAATCGTATATCTAGTTATTTCCTGAAATTAAAACAACAGAAATTTAAAATATTTGATTTTTATGACTCAATCCTTATCCATTCGTTCTGAAATACACTAGCCAGAATTTCGATTACTTTATAAAAAAGAAAACCATTTTGAAAATCATTTCTACAACTTTACATACGCAGTTTTGCATTTTGCTGATACACGGTATTGCATTTTGTTGATACGCGGTTTTTCACTTTAAACGACGATATATATATATATATATATATACATATATATATACTTTCACGAATTTAAATTTTATTAAGAAATTTTTTGTAAACTTTTTGTGTATGCATTTTTGTGTCCTATTGAATTTTAGTATAATAATGTGGAAGTTTGAATTAAAACTCAACGGTAGTAGGCTACACGTAAACTTGAATAGGTTACAAAACTGCATACCCAAAAAGTTTCTAAAAATTCTGCATTTTCGTGAACTTTGCGTAAAGTTTTATGGCCTTATTCATAAAAAATAAAAAAGGTATATAAACTGAAAAATTTATGAAAATGTAATTTTATTACGCTCTTTAAACCTACTTTATTTTTTATGAATAAGGCCATTAAACTTTAACTTATTTAGTTTATGTTATACAACAGACTACACGCAATTTCAGTTTATTTTAAGTGATGGACAAAATTGAATGATAGTAATCCATATAAGCAAAGAAAATTGAGTCGCCAATGGAAGAAAAAATTTAAAAAGTCTGTTTTTTAATAACTATTCGATACTACGACTACTTTGCAAAGTATCGAGTAAAATCACCAAATAAGGTATCGAGTATTAAAGTACTCATTTTTATAACCACAGTATCGATACTTACTCAATATCGATAGTATCGTTCGAACTCTAGTGATGTAGCTTTTAGAATTGTAATCAGTGTTGCCGCGCCATCTCAAGAAAATGTATCCCTGACCAAGCCAAAAATGTATTCAAATGTATCCAATTTTTTTTTTTACATATACATCTCATAACTTGTAAGAAAACCAAACATTTTCATGAAAAAGACATAATTTAACCCATGCTAAGGACTTGGAATACATGTGAATAAAATCAAACACTTGTAATTTCAATTTATAAAGTATATTTTTTGTGCATAAGTATTTTGCAAAGTAAATATAATAAATAGCAAGTACACTCTAAAAAGAGGATGTAAAACTACTACTGAAAAGTATCTATTTTTCAACAAGAATCTGTATAAATATACGTATAGGATGTTCAGTATTTGATTTTGAACTTGAGACCTTTAAAATATACACATAGATACACATATGTAGAATGTTTAAAATTTCAAAATTTTTCAAACTACAAATACATTTCCTACTAATAATAAACATTACTTTATTTTAAACATTTTATGTGTTGACTAATTTTATTACACGGCGTGCAAATTTGCATACATTAAAAGAGGAAACTGGTTATCTCTCTCAATATGCGCAAATAAACAAAATTTTTTTAGAGTGTATTTAAAGTCTTTTCAGTAAAATTCATAAAAGTTTCCTTAAATAAATCAAATTTAGTTTTTTAAACTACATTGAAATCTTCTTTCTTTTTAAATTAACAAATGAAAATATGTGATATGAAAGAGATTACTACAGAAAGAGTTTAATTTACTTTACATATATCATCGTTTAAAGTACAAAACCGCGTATCGTCATTCTGCAAAACCGCGTTACTGACATTTGCTACCAAAAATTGGATTTGCTCACACAAGCTCTTAGCTCAATCCTTATCCATTCATCCTGAAATATACTAGCCAGAAATCCAAACGACATCCCTGATTGTAATAGGCATTTAATTTCATCTTCCGATGAAAATGGATCGATCTTTGTAAATTTTAATTGGAGATTATTCAATATTATCAAATTCACCCTCTACCAACTTAAATTTTACATATTTCGTCTGTTTTCCCTTAATTTGATAAAATAACCCTTCCTAGTTACGACTTAGTTGCAGCTGCAGCCGAAACTAAATTTTAAGTTGGTATTTAGCCAGAAAAGTCGAAACTAAGGCGACTATGAATAGCTTTAGTTGTGACTTAAACTATGTTCACATTACCAACATAAAATACTTAGTTTCGTTTAAAATACCTCACTAAATTAAGTGCGTTCATACACGCGATTCTTTATTTGTCTTGACAGCTTTGTAGCAACCCTGTGTTATTGGTTATTTAACCAAAAAAGATCACGAATGTGAGTAATTGCGTATATTTTTATATTCTGAGTTGTTTGTGGTAATTTTTTAGATTTTAGATGAGTGATCAAAAGAGAAAGCTTCTGGAAATAATTTACAAACTACCACGGGCTTTTATTAAAAACAAAATCGTCCAAATACAATGACATGTCAGTTATGAGACAATACTTTTTTCGATTATTATCGATAAAATTAGAGCCGACACTGATTTGTTCGTGATTTGGTTCTTGGTTTAAGATAAACTACGTACTTTCAACTTAATTTACTGAGAGACTTTACAAGGCGAAATTACTTAGTTTGTACTTAATTGATGCGTAAATTAAGATTGACCTCTAAATTACGCTAATGGGAACATAGTTTTAGAATAGTTTCGACTTAGTTGAGTACAAAATATGACAATGAATATGCGCCATTGGTCTTGAAGGGAAGTTACTAAGAAAATATATGAGCGAATTAAAAAGTGTATACAATTTATAGCCGAAAAGTACATTTTTTGTATAAATTTCGTACTGAAGGAACAATTTCATCTCCCAACACTGATACAGAATATAAACAAACACAAGAATGATAGAATACAAGATTGCGCCGATTGCAGCAGAATTCGTGAGAGTAATTTTAGCGTGACGTCATCGTAGAGTTGACAACTGAGAGCGGCGAGAATGAGGGCGACTAGTGATGTGCTGAATTGTCCCCAATACTCGGTACCCAATACTTAAAAAAGATTTCGGTACCCTATACTTCCTTTTCGGTATCCGATACCGATTATTTACATTAAATCCTCGCCATTATATGCATTTCAGGTTTAGAAAAAGCTTTCATTACTAATTTATATGATATCGGCTAAAACACTTGAACTTATCGCCACAGAAAAATATTATTTTATCAGTTTTAACCTTAGTCGATCCAAGGTTCAAGAAAAATACTTTGACGGATGAAGAAGCCTTTCAGGGGAGAGATTCTGTAGCCAGTTAGCGACAAGTTTCGGATCGATATCGCACTTGTTGACTTACAAATATTTGATATCAAACGTCGACAAAACCGATACCGATTCGAAAATTGTTACAGAATCTGTCCCAGGCCTACAAAAATGATATCGTCCGATTCAGCTGGAACAAAAATGCTTCAAACAAGTAAGGGTTTCTCTGTATTATGGCATCGAACCGACATATATACACCTTTCATTTGAATCAGTAAAAAAGCTCTATTGGCTCTTACATTCGGGTTTTGTTAGGCGTTTTTTCCATATTTTTGGCCTATGTGCGCTTTTATTCGAAACCTAAATGTTTCGGTACCGAGTATCGAGAGTATTGGGTACTTAAAAGTATTGACTCAGCACATCACTACAGCTGTCTTCTCTACTGTGACGTCCCCAAAACAGCTGATTCTGTCAAAATCACTGAGAGCCGAGTAGCGGTATCGTCATCGGCGCCACCTCTGTATTCTCTCCACCGTGAAACAAACACAGGGTTGCAAGGAAAAAAAGTTGAACGAGCTCAAAGTTGGCTGGCGACCAACTTTGTTGAAAGCGATTAGTTGAAAGGCCGTTCGGACGAGGCGATTTTTACTTTCAACTAAAAGTTGCCTGAAAAATCGCTCGTGCGAAAGCCCTATTAAACTCAGGAGAAAGGGTGCACCACGTTCACGTTTTCTTTTTTCTCTAGCTCAAGGATCCGTATTCTTTAGGAATGCCGATTCTTTTTGGGGTTCCCGATATTTACTCAGTACTTGTCAAAAAGTATCGAGCTCTTGCAACTACTAAGTACTCATAAAAAGTATCGACATTCTGCACTCGGTACTCGTATCGTTCTATCACAAGTATCTATTTACATTGTTATGAAGTCGCACTGACACATCGAAAGAATTATTTTGTTAGAATGGGTTGCTGTAAATTATTTTAAAGCAACTTTATAGAAGTGTTGACCATTATTAGTTTAGTGGATCAAGTTCTTTGTAAAAGTATCTTCGGTATGGCTTCACGGAACCCACATACCCTTATGGCACTGCCAAGTGAAGAAAGCTTTGACTTCCTCTTCAAAGTTGTTTTGATTGGAGATTGTGGAACTGGGAAAACTTGTTTAGTGGAACGTTTTAAGACTGGAAATTTCATCGAACGACATGGAAATACGATTGGGGTAGACTTCTCTATGAAAACTATAAATATAGAAGGAAAAGCAACTAAGGTACGCAGTTTTTGAATAAAGATTCTCAGGGGTATCAAGTATCTTTGCAGCTTCAAATTTGGGATACTGCCGGGCAAGAACGCTTCCGCACAATTACACAAAGCTATTATCGCTCTGCGAATGGGGTTATAATTGGTATGTGATTGAATTTATTTTCTTTGTAAATAAATGGGTACTGCTTATGAATTTGTACAACGAGTTTGGGTTGCTGTGCCCAAACGCGTGAATCGAATCAAAAAACTTTTACACACACTTGTAGACAACAGTTCACGCTTTATTACAAAAATTTACTTTACTAAATCTGTGCACTAATTTAACAATAATGTCGGTTGGAAATATGGTATTTGTTGCAAATTTTTGTTATAAATTTATATATACATTTTTATATACAAGATATTTTTACAAAACACCCAGTAACCAAAATAGACATCACTGGGGCGGCAGCCCCAGGTTTACCACACAGAAAGGGAATTCTAGTTACCTCATCCTTTCCCAAGGTTACATCACTGGGGCGGTAAGGGTTATAATCCCTAAGCGCGGCCGAAGGCCGCCTACGCAGAAAGCCTTTTTATAAAGCGGCGTCAATCCTCTTTCGTTTAGGGGGGATTTGTGGGGCCCACACCCCCTCCCCCTCCCCCTCCGCCCCCACCCCAAAAATCGTTGTACAAATAGCTAAACATTTCCCAAATAAATTTTAGGGTGGGCTTTAGTATTCAGCCGCACCTTTTGTTTTAAGAAAACCAGGTGGAAATAACAAACGAAACTTGGTCTGGATGTTAAGGGAGGTATCCTCTAAAACATGTATAACTAAAAAATATAAACAAAATAATTGTTTATAAGTTATTAACCGACTTCCAAAAAAGGAAGAGGTTATCAGTTCGTCGGAATATTCTTTTTTTTTTTTTTATGTATGTTACCGCATAACTTTGGACCACGTCAACCGATTTCGATAATTCTTTTTGCATCGGAAAGGTAGTGTTTCAGAGGTGGTCCCATACTAATCTGGTTGAGATCCGATCAGTGGATCATGATATATATATATATGTATGTTACCGCATAACTTTGGACCACGTCAACCGATTTCTATAATTCTTTTTGCATCGGAAAGGTAGTGTCTCAGAGGTGGTCCCATACTAATCTGGTTGAGATCCGATCAGTGGATCATAAGATATATATATATATATAAATCCATGTAACTGTTTTTTTCGCCATTTTTGGAAGCCTGTAGATCTTCAACCCACCGCTGGAAGGAAAAACATCACATGACTTTTTTTCTTCCCATCATATAATTTTCAAAATCCAATAGGTCAAAATGACGCTCGAGTAAATCCCGAATTAGCATCGTGGGCTCCCCTAGTAATATACAAGATAATATAAAATAAAAGTGTGTAAACTATTATGTAGTGTTATGTGCATTTATATATGTATATGAAAGTATGTGACAAAAGCACTCTTTGATAAGGAAATCAAGTGGAATGACTTAAGAAATTTTAACCACAAACAAGTATGATTTCCTTATCAAAGAGTGCTTTTGTCACATACTTTCATATACATAAAAAAACCGACTTCAAATATATATATATATATTTTTTTTTATATGGGAGTTGAAGTCGGTTTTTTTTTGCTAAAAATTACTAAAAATATTTCGTTTCTGAGATGCAGTCAACCAAACATATATAATTGTAAACACTTATTATTTTATCCATGCAACTATCATCATACAGAAAGTCCGCTTCGACTTGATCGTCAATTTCTTCTAAATTTTTTCCATCTGTAACAAGAAGTAATTGACAATATTTTTTTTACATACTAGCTTATGCCCGCTTGCTTCGTGGCGCCTTATAAGATCTTTTGCGTGAGCCAATACAAAAATAGCGTTTAAAAGAAAAAGCTGTCTGTAAAGTAAACATTTTTAGTTCGAATTGAAAGACTAAAGAGCAGAATCCTACTCAGACATAGGCCAAAAATAGTAGCGCTGTGTTACCATATGGAGTCGAGTCTCTTTCGATGTCATGAGGTTTATTGGTCTTATTTCCACCTGTGAGATCTCTGCCAAGCGTGCGTGATATTCTTCTATGATCTTGCAACTTCAGCATTGGTCCGATGTACCACGTAAGCCAATAAAAGTCCTTATAAGAATCCTCGCTGTCCCACAGGATGAAAAGTTTTCCCGTACATTGGCTAAATAAGGGTAATCTGAATTTTGACCCCTGTGCGCCACGCCTTAACCGACTCCAATCGGGCCCAAAATTTATATGTGATATATTCTAATATAGTAGTACCGATTTTGGGTATTAGATGAAAAAATAGTAATTTAATTTTTTGAGTCTCCATAGAGGAATCTGAACTTTACCCCCTCTGCGACACGCCTTAACCGTCTCCAATCGGGACCAAAATTTATATGTGATATCTTCGACTGTAGCAACATCGACGTGGGGGTTGAGGCTTAGAAAATCTGATGTAAAAATTTGCTTCCTACATTTAAGGACCACCCTAAAGTACATATATGTATATTTGGGAAGAAAAAAAGTCCTCATGAAAGTAATAACCATTTCGAATTTACATTAACAAAATCGGTTCATAAATACTGCTTTTATAAATAACTCGACTCCAGCGCCACCTAGCGAGTTTTCTAGTAGCCTATAATAGGACCATGTATGCAAGGCATAATCTCTGAAAATTTGACTGAAATCTATCTCGTAATTTTTGAGTTAAGTCCAAACAACCAAAACGGTTACTATTTTATATATCTGTGGTAATAAGCAATAACCGCCTAAGTCGACTTAAGAAAGAATGGAGTTATATATGCTATCGTATTCTTCAACCCCTATTCCATACGTACGTGAAATCCCTATCTCGCCAGCGGGCTATTTAAAAAGTTATAGGCGAAAATATTTTCGTTTCCTCATAAGGTTAACATTACAATCCAAATCTTAAAAGGGTTTTTTCTCGAATTCAGGTTTTTCGACTTAGGTGATTATTGCTTATGACCACAGATATATAGATTAAATAAATGACAAGTGTGTCATTATAGAATTTACAAGGTATTATACCTGAATCGCCTTTAATAGACTAACAAGTTTTTTGACAAGAATTTGATCCACAAAACACACAAAAACCGTTTCCACTCATCATGAATCACAAAATTTAGTTAGTAAAGTTTGGACGATTATATTTCATGTAACACCACGAGCGCTTTGATCGCCCAAGATTGCGTGATGGCGGACGGAAAGGAGTAAGGGGACACACAGTCCATTGATACTATATAAAGAGTGAGCAAGAAGGGAGCGGAGTTCCAAAGTTTATCATGTATAAGTAAATTATCTGAAAAATTCGTGTTTTTCTTACATACAAATTCTTATGCCTAGTGATTTCAGCTAGGAAATGAGTAAAATTCACATACATAAGTAAGTTAAAAAAGTGATTTTTAACTGATATTTGTTGAGCTAAAAGTTACATCATGTGCTATTAATTTTTCTTAATATATGGGGTATTCACAACGGTGTCGTATTATTGTATCTCGTGAGCTTTAAACGCCTAAAAAATATGCTACGGAGGTTCGCAAAGTACGATCAAAGTCATATTATGAATTTTCGCAGTGTTAAAAAATGGTTGTGGGTTCAATTTCTCTAAACATTTATTTAAGCTTCTAATGTTTACGACATACAACATCACGACACTAACGACACCGTTGTGAAGCCCTCAATAATTTTAAAATAATACTACTTCAATTTACGATTATTTCAATCCTACTTCAAACTATTTTGAACTGGGATTAAATTAATCGTAACCGCAGACGCACTTAATTACACATGTAATTTCATCGCCCAGCTTAAATTTAGATAAAGGTTTTGATTCGCAAATGCACATACTTATATACATACATATACAGCGGAGCAACACACGAGCCTTTAGAAGGAGTTTGTTTGCGTTAATTCTCACATTTCACTCGCAGCCGGTATCATTTGCGAGCATTTGGTCCGCTGGGTATACTTACAGTCTTATGATTGTGACAAATAATATTAACGGAAAACAGCAAACAAATCAAAAAATAACAAATTTCGTAAAAAAATCTGTAGTAGTTTCCCAGTAGAACTTGGGAGCATCGTACGATTGCTCGGTGAGTACTCCTTGGGGAGGATACGAATACTCCCTATTGTACTTCCTTGAAGGGGGAGTAATCCCTTTTACCTCCCAAACGAGCAAATACAGAAAACCTCCTAAGGGAGCAATACGGGAGTACTCCCATAAAATCCTTCCCTATACCCCCCAAAAAGACAATCAGCCTTATTCTGCATTTCGACTCGAATCGAAATTTTCTCCGTTTGGCAACTTTGGTATTCTGCGTTCCGCTTCCTTTCGATCAATCTTCGAAATTTACGATTATACCCATTCTACATTTCGATCGGAGTTCCGTTTTTCTAAGTTGCAAATTTGTTGACGGAGAACGTTTCGATTGTTATTTTCGTGGGTTTAAATAATAAAATTTTATAAAAAAATTAAGTAAAATATACTGTGCAATCATGTTTCTGTGTTTTCGTTGCGGTAATACGGGCAATACGAAAAATTTGCTCAAATATTAGCAACCAAAGGGGATATTGCGCGAGGTTTTCAAAGAGGAAGCAAAGGCTTTTTTGTTTTCATTATCTATAAATAAGACTGTGAAATGCACTGAATACAATTTATTCTTTGTATATAAAATTAATAGAAGTATGTACATACATACATACATACATAAAATGTGAAGTTACATAAAAAAAGATGCTTTTATTATTGCACTCGTTTTTACTAACTTTTTAAAAAGAGGTGCGTATGTTGTCGAATTCGAATTTGCTTTGGAGCTTTGTTCTTCCCCTCCTCCTGACGGCTTTCAAAATGGAATCCATTTGCGTTCAAATCTTCCTCTCTGTAGTAAATGCAAATGTTGTGGAGTGCTCAAACAACGTTTATAATTTCACTGGCTTTGAGCGATGAATAATACAGTTCATGACGAATTTAGGACTCTTCACTCATCTGAGAAAGATCAAACGTGTCCCTAAATCTCCGCCTTTCAATTTCCGCATCAGCAATCTGGGACTCGTTCTCCTCTTCAAGCAATAACGCCGCGGCTATGGATTTCATTTTTATAATTATGT